GTTACTAGAGTCAGTACCGTTTCATGAGATAATGTCTGGCCTCACCGTTCTCCCTTNTGAAAGTCAACAACACCACCTGGGCAGTAGCATCCATGTCGGAGGCATGCAGCGGCTCCAAGTCCCGTCGAATCACAACCTTTGTGTATCCTCGCCTGATCATTAACTGCATGATGCTCATTACAGGTAGGTGCCTATATCACGATCGACTTCGGTCAGCTGTTCATTGAGGAGAATAACATAAAACATACCTCCTTGGTCTCCTTCACTGTTGCGAGATGCTTGGCATATTGTTCCCTTTCTACCATTATCCCTCACCATGCTTTAACCAGACATCCGTTTCTGGCCGCCGTTGTAATTTATGATTACAGGTAAAGTTTCCATCGAGTACGAAGCCTCGGGAATACGCCCAAACCTCCGGGTCCTCCTTCCAGTTGTTCGGAAGATTGATTCCAGGTTGTGGGCAAGCCGGGCAAAATAGGGCTAGCTCACCCGTTGTTGGAGAACGATTTTGATGGCCAAAGCCAAACCATTTGTATTCTTTCAAGTTCCGCCATTGTCGGCTGACCCATAGAAGCTCCCGATAACGGTCCTAAAGCAAATGTCAGGATCATATGGGTTTAAAATGCCCGTGAACTTACTTTTACTTTATGCGGAAATGCCTTGGATGTCATCCTCCGTAATTTCGAATAGTAATGAGTGCCGGATGTTTTGCATTCAAGATTCTCCAATATATAGTCATCAAGTACCGCAAAAGTAAATGCCGTCTTGGTGCAGTACTTTATTGTGCCCTACCTATTCCTGTCGGACTCCGGTCATTCCTGCGGATTCCGGTGGAATGGGACCGGACTCCAGCGGAATCCACAGGAATGGGACTGGAATCCAGTGGAATCCAGCAGAGTCCTGCGGAATCCAGCGGAATCCAGTGGATTCCAGTTGAATAAGACCACAATCCACCATAAATAGCAGTACTTTACCCTCTCCCACATGCTCTGATCAGAGTATCTACAATCAGAATGGATCAGCACTGATCTAGAGGTCAGGTGACTTAATCTGCATTGATTCAACTCAATACTCAGAATTTCTTATAAAATTCACTTCTAGTCAAGTCATTCATCTCAATAAATCAAATTTTAAGGTATTTTATTAATGACATGAGTGTATTTTACTACATACAGTGCATATTAAAGAAGGGGATGGATAAGGGGCAGGGACAAGGAAATGGGGAGGGACAGGGAAGGGGGCAGGGAAAAGGAAGGGGGCAGAGACAATGAAATGGGGGAAGGAGGTAGGGACAAGGAA